ATACGTAATCCTGACCTTACGTATCAGGATCATACGAGATCATCCTCTTGGATGATTAAGATGGATGACTCAAGATGAAAATGTAAAAATATAAAAATCTACTTATCATACTTTAGGAGTAACAGGCAAATTTGTCTGTTCATATCCTTATCTGTCCCCCTTTGCTGATACAGCCTCCCACTCTACTGGAACCGATTCCAGTTTCCGACTACGGTTCCAGATCTACTGGAACCGTAGGGTTCCAGTAGATTCTTGAGGTTATCTTGAGATGATATCGGGGCTTTTTTAGTGTCCCCGCGGCCCGGTCCTCGACCAGGCCTCCACCCCCAGGAAGCAGCCCGTGACAGCTGACTAACACCCAGGTACCTATTTTACTGCTAGGTAACAGGAGCATAGGGTGAAAGAAACTCTGCCCATTGTTTCTCGCCGGCGCCTGGGATTGAACCCAGGACCACAGGATCACAAGTCCAGTGTGCTGTCCGTTCGGCCGACCGGCTCCCCTGTTCTGTTAGGCAGGACTTGTACTCTTGCAGAACTTATGAAGTTATTCATCTCTAGGTGTTTCATTCTTCATTATCATCATCTTAGACACTTTGCATAGTATTCCTGGGTTGGTGACACGAGTCTGTAGCTAGCGGAACCTATCTAACTTGTGCCTATTACCAGCTGTTTGACGGTATTTACTACTGTGCCTGTGGGATCGAGCTGTTAGCTCTTGGACCCCACCTTTCTGTCGCTTGTCTAATACACTACTACTCCCGACCTATTTTTCCTATCATCATATTTATTGCGTATTTCTCTCTCGCAGCAACGTTAGGTCTAGATCTTTCGGTCTTTCTTCATAACACATCCCACTCAGTTGTGGGATGACCTTTACAAACTTCCATGAGTTTACAAGTTTATTTTTGTACTTTTGGAGGTCTTGGCTCGACGATGGAACTGCATTTTCTAGGCATCGTCCCACGTAGGTAGTGTACAATGATCTAAATGCCTCGTTATTAAGGTTCCTGACGTTCACCCATTTGATAGCATGCTGGGGACATGCTATCCCCAGCATGGGGATAGATAATGTCCCCAGCCTGGGGACATTATCTACTTTATATGACTTTATGTGAGGCACTGGGATAAGACTTTATACAATTTCTACTGTTAAATACCTTTAGTTTATAGACTATTAATTTCTGTTGACCAGACCACACACTAGAAGGTGAAGAGACGACGACGTTTCGGTCCGTCCTGGACCATTCTCAAGTCGATTGTGTCAAGTCACAATCGACTTGAGAATGGTCCAGGACGGACCGAAACGTCGTCGTCCCTTCACCTTCTAGTGTGTGGTCTGGTCAACATACTTTAGCCACGTTATTGTGACTCATCGCCTACATATCAATTTCTTACTAGGTAGTAAGAAACTTCCTCTCGTTTCAGGGAGGCAGCTCCCCATTCATAGTGTACTATCACCTGGACCCATTTTCAACACCTTGCACCTGCTAGTATTGACATCCAGAAGCCATATCTCGGACCAACTCAACCCGCTTGTCTAAGCCTTTCCTGATTCCCTTACCTTGCCTTGTAGCATTTTACAATCTTCATACGCCCAGACTAACCTGGCCTCAGGCCGGGCTCAGGGAGTAATATAACTCCCGAAACCCTCTACAGGTATGCTCTAGGTACATCTGATAACGTTGACGATAATAGATTTCCAGCTGCTGTAAAACTGAATAATCTTTCATATAAAAATATGAAATAACCATAGCAGCAATAAATAATAATAATGACAATAATAATCACATAGAGTCTAAGAGATAACTTTAACATGATAGATATTAATGAGAAAATGCACTACGGCAATGAGGTGGGCTCGAACCTGCGACCCCGGCATTGTCAAGCCGCATTCTCTACCACTAGGCCACCAATAAACCTAGATTGACTTCAGTAGAGGTCTTCAGGCTCCTGTGATTTCAGTAGAAATCCGGATGTATAATACAAGTGACGGTGGTCTAGTGGTAGAGTATGCGGCTTGGCAATGCCGGTTCGAGCCCACCTCACAGCCCTAGTGGCTTTTCTCAATAATAATTGACTCCTCCAGGCGCCGAGGCAATTCGTCAACTTTCTCTCGTCTCGCTTGTCCTTGGAGATTGAGAGAGGGGAGTTCCAAGAGATTCTCATTATCTCCTTTTTATCTGAAAGCTAATTTGCTTATTTCCTTGTGAGGGGCGTGCGACTTGCAATTGATGTATTGACGTTGATGTTCGCTACAGTCCCCTTGATGCTATGATGAGATCGGACAAGTTAATTGTTTGGTGCGCACATGTTTTAATGAGTTATTATTCAGGTGTGTACTCACCTAATTGTGCTTGCGGGGGTTGAGCTCTGGGTCTTTGGTCCCGCCTCTCAACCGTCAATCAACACGCCTCTCAACCGTCAATCAACAAAAGTGTGTGTGTGTGTGTGTGTATGTGTGTGTGTGTGTGTGTGGGTGTGTGTGTGTGTGTGTGTGTGTGTGTGTGTGTGTGTGCGTATGTGTGTATGTGTTCATGTATGTGTGTGCGTGTGTGCGTGTGTATGTGTTTGTTCATGTATGTGTGTGTGTGCGTGTGTGTATGTGTTTGTTCATGTATGTGTGTGTATGTGTGTGTGTGTGTGTGTGTGTGTGTGTGTGTGTGTGTGTGTGTGTGTGTGTGTGTGTGTGTGTGTGTGTGTGTGCGCGCGCGTGTGTATGTGTTTGTTCGTGTGTCGTGTGTGTGTGTGTGTGTGTGTGTGTATGTGTTTGTTCATGTGTGTGTGTGTGTGTGTGTGTGTGTGTGGTTTGTTCCCGTGTGTGTGTGTGTGTGTGTGTGTGTGTGTGTGTATGAGGTGTAATGTGTACTTTATTTATGGGACCAGTTGTTTGTGTCACCCCCAAAATGTATATTGTATAGGCTATGTCTCGGTATTTATGTTTATTGCAAGCTAAATGAGGTACCTGGCAGTGCCTGGGGCGACCCCAAAAGGCTGCACCATTTGCGTGTTGGGAGCCCCAGAAGGGGAGACTCTGCCATCTGAATAATATAATTAACAATTGAGAGAACTCTATGGATTCGGAGCCTAACATTTGATCTCCGCTGACTTTATGCTGGGGTATCGGTTCAAGGGGGGTGGGGGAACAGTGGTTGAAGTGATTGGAGTATAAAATTGGTGATCCTAATATGTGTTGGCGGACAGGACAACATATTGACCATATTGACCAGGACAAAAGTTTATTGTTTGTTCACTTATAAGATTGTTATCGTTCAACTGTCTGGACTAAATCATGAAAAACTGTGGAGTGAAAATCGGGTAAAGAAACATTATTGAATCTTCATTTATACAAGAAAATATAGCGAATTCGATCTCGTTAAAATACGTCCAGGATTATATAAACTAGTTAGCTTTATAATTGGTCAGATTTGTGATGTGTTGTGAGTTATAGATGAATTATAGTTTGTGGGTGGTGGACGGGTGGGTTGTGAAATGTGGTGGTGTTGGGGGAGTATAGTGGTGGTAGCGTGGTTGGTGGAGAGGAGTGGTGGTGGTGGTGGTGTGGTTGGTGGAGAGTGGTGGTGGTGGCGTGGTTGGTGGAGAGTGGTGGTGGTGGCGTGGTTGGACAGGCCAGTTAGTGTGGGTGGTTGTATGTAAGTGTCCAGTATGTGTCATGGTCGCGTGACACACATACTGTGACCTCTCATTGTTGGTGCTGATGGTGGCTGTGAAGATGCTCCTGTTGCTCTCATCTCTCTTCCCTAATTTGTTCTCCCCCTCTATATCTCTCATATTCTCTCTTCCCTTCTCTTTGCTCTCTGCTTTATTCTCTCGTTCTCTTATTTTGTTTCTAACACCCCTCTCTCTATCCCCCTCCAATCTCTCTCCTCCCCCTCTCTCTCTCTCTCCTCCCTCTCGCTCTCTCTCTCTCCCCTCCCTATCGCTCTCTCTCTCTCCCCTCCCTCTCGCTCTCTCTCTCTCCCCCTCTCTCCCTTCCCATCTCTATCCCCCACTCCTTCTCTCCTCCCATGTCTCCCCCCACTCCTCTCCCATCTCTCTCCCCTCTCTTCTCCGTTTGTTTTCTCTCCCATCTATATTCTTTCTCTGTTTTGTCTCCTCTCTCATACACTCACTTCACTACAGACAAAATACTGAAGGGGAGAGGTGGATAACGACATTTTTTTTAACATTATGAGAGAGTGGAACCAGGAGACACTTTGAATCAAAATCAAACTGCATCAAAGGATTCAGTTTGAATCAAAACAAATTTTCTGATTCAGTTTCAGAACACAAGTAGTTCTTCAGTTGAACTGAAGAACTACTCGTGATCGAGGCGTAACTGACCCAACCTCTCACGGTGTTCAAGAGAGAACTTGATAAACGCCTTCATAGGGTACTCAATGAACCAGACTGCGAGCAGCCGCGTCGAACAACCTGGTTGACCAGTCTAGCAACAAGGTCAAGTCAGAGACCGGGCCCTCAAGACCAGCTCAGTTTTCTTCCTGTAACAAGCCACAAGCAGTGACACAAACCACTTACAATCTCACCTAACAATCGCAATTAACCTGAATGTTTAGATCGTGTTCCTCTGATTGAATTAATTTTTTTTTTAAATTTTGCCCCGAGGGGCGAGTTTATTGGGCAGCGCCACTCATCTTGTGAGTCGACACACTGCTATAGCAGCATGTACAACACTCCCCAATAGGAAGAAAACCCGCTGGGTTGTTCATCCAAGTCATTGTGACACGCCGAGTAGCAATTTGTAGTGATATGATGGGCACAATAAGCCCTATTATATATAATAAAATACTTTTGAGCTTGAGAGCATTAGGAAAAGTTATATTAATTTGGCTGCTACGTTTAGGTACTAATTTAATTCATGTTTGGTGAATCTTGAGTGGGATTAGCGTCCGCTGCACCTTTCATGGCGGCTTGACCATATTTTTCCCCTTCGGCTGTACTTGAATAGTTAATTCAAATGGACCTAATTCTGGCGCCGACAGGACTAAAAATTTCCTGCCCCCCCCCCCCCCCCCCCCGGCCGGCCAGATCGATGGGTGTGCGTACGGGAGGTGTGGCTGCCGGGAGGAGAGTCCGGCTCTTCTCTCTCTCCCCTTAGTGTTGTGAGGGGAAGGGGGGAAACTTCCCCTCTCTCTTTACTCATTTCTACACTTATGAGTGGTCCTCCCCCGGTGGGAGTTATCATGAGGTGGGATAACTCTGGGTTGAATATGGGTTAATGGGGAGGATAGGTTTAGGGATAACATACTGGGTAGCTAGGATAATGCTCTCTCAGGCGCCGGGACCGTTGCCAAAGCGGCATTTTTGAACTCTTTATTCTCTCTCATTTCTTCATTAGTTCCCTTCTTGATGTTAGGTTTCCCCCCGCTCTTAGTCACGCCCGTGTCTTGCTAGAAAATCCCGGCTGCGCTTTCTCGCAAGATATTATTTTCCAGAATGAGGATGAGTGTGAGAAACAAAAGCCGTATTAGGCAACTGTGCCGCTCTCGGCCGCACAGAGCCGTGTCGTCCCCTCAGTTTGGTTGTGACATTGTTCGGGGGAGGATCGCCGCCGCGTTCTCCCGGTATTATGTTGAAAGTGTAGACTCATTGACAGTTAGTTCGTCTTGTAGCGGTGATTTTTTGTTTTGTTTTAACATTTTTGATTAAAACTTTGAATTTCTGTATTTTTGGGGGGTCGACAGCCGCGCGGAAAGTTGCTGAGCTAAGCAGCCAGCTGTGTGAGGTGAAGGGTACTAGTACTTAGTAAGAAATGGGGGAAGATGCTTCTGTATGAGGAAGCCAAGCATGAGGTGTGACCGTCTACCAAGGAAGGTACAGTCCCCCCTCAAAAAGAAAACCCGCTCTCAAAATATACACCTTGTAGCCGAGCCTAGTGTAACCTGGTTGATACCTGGTTGATGGGGTTCTGGGAGTTCTTCTACTCCCCAAGCCCTGCCCGAGGCCAAGTTTGACTTGAGAGAACCTGGTGGATTATAGACAAGGTAGCCGAGCCTGGCCTTGGTAACCTGGCCTTGGTAGCCTGGCCTTGGTAGCCTGGCCTTGGTAGCCTGGCCTGGTAGCCTGGCCTTGGTAGCCTGGACTTGGTAGCCTGGCCTGGTAGCCTGGCCTGGTAGCCTGGTGCTTGACGCCTCGTCCATGTGGTGGTACCTGGTCGACCAGCTGCTACATGTCACCCCAGCCGACCTCGTCAACTGGTTCTTCACCCTGTTGATAGTCATCTTCATCCTGCTCACACTCCTGCTTGTTCCGGCGTTCATGCGAGGGCTCTAGGGCGCAGAATGGGCGCTCAAAGCGCTCACACCAATGGGAACTTAACCTGAGCCCCCCCCATGTTGGGAATTTCTTCGTCTGTTCTCACAATAATGCGGTGTTTTTGGCATGTACAGCTCAAAGCAAACAGCGAATATATTGAGAAGACAGTGGACGTTTCTTGGCAACAGTAGCAAAAGCCAGACGTTAATAGTATTAAAAATAAAATGAATAAAGCTATTTAAACGGTAAATTAGTAGCGGCAGCAGTAGTTGTTGTCTATGAGTTAGTTGTACCGGAAGGTCCCAGGAGCCAGCGAGTTGTACTGAAAGGTCCCAGGAGCCAGCGAGTTGTACTGGAAGGTCCCAGGAGCCAGCGAGTTGTACTGGAAGGTCCCAGGAGCCAGCGAGTTGTACTGGAAGGTCCCAGGAGCCAGCGAGTTGTACTGGAAGGTCCCAGGAGCCAGCGAGTTGTACCGGAAGGTCCCAGGAGCCAGCGAGTTGTACCGGAAGGTCCCAGGAGCCAGCGAGTTGTACCGGAAGGTCCCAGGAGCCAGTGAGTTGTACCGGAAGGTCCCAGGAGCCAGCGAGTTGTACCAGAAGGTCCCAGGAGCCAGCGAGTTGTACTGGAAGGTCCCAGGAGCCAGTGAGTTGTACTGGAAGGTCCCAGGAGCCAGTGAGTTGTACTGGAAGGTCCCAGGAGCCAGTGAGTTGTACTGGAAGGTCCCAGGAGCCAGTGAGTTGTACTGGAAGGTCCCAGGAGCCAGTGAGTTGTACTGGAAGGTCCCAGGAGCCATGGTGGCTGCAGCCTGCCTCTGATAAAACAAATCTTGAGTGACGCGGTGGTACTCCCCGCCCCGCCTCCCTGAGGGCGACCCGGGTCTGCCCGTGCTCTGGTCCTGCTCTTCCTGTACTGTAGAAATTATTCTAAAGCCATTAACAAAGAAGCCCTGATATGAAATGCTGAATAAATGGTCCTCTTGCCTGTGATAAGCATCACGAATTCAGCATCAGTTGCAGCCAGCTGAGTTGTCTTCAGACGCAGAGGGCTTCTGAATAAGCTGCAAGCTTGCATTTGGCAGTCTTAATGTATATTTGGCGACTTAATTAATGTTGTTGGACCGACTAGCAATTCCCCACTCCAGTCAAGCATATAAATGCTGTTCCATTTATTGGAGGCCGTAAATGTCTGTAGCTCCTAGAGTGGACGCGTGAGGGGAGATTTATACACCCTCCCCATACCCACCTCCCACTGAAGCAGCTTTAACCGGAGCGGTCGTTGGAGACGGAACGGTGAGCAGCTGGAGACAAAGGGGGCGAACTAGCGAGGCGTAGTTCGGCTGCTTCAAGACTGACGGCTGGTGGTCGATGGTGGAACAAGACAAGAATGGACTTGAGGCACAACCAAACCTTCAGTAAACCCTAGTGGCCATGGAGTAACTATCATTGAAGTCTTAAGAAAAAAAGTTAAATAAAGGGAAGAAAATACATCGAAAAGCAAGATTTTTGATATGTGGAAGACAATAAGCAGCGATGTGGAGGCAAAGACACGCTGAAACAAATGAGGAGAGGGGTGCGTCGTCCATGGTGTACAGCTTCCCCCCTCGCCCTCTTTTCCCCCTCCCCTAAACTCCCTTCCATCAGGATGAGGGGAAGAACGAGGGAAGCGGCGTGTAAGTGATAATTCATTGGGGGAGCATTGATGAGTAGGTTCCACTTGATGACTGACTGTGAGGGGACACTTGTCAGGATTTAAGTCACGAATGACTGACTGCATTTATATCGACAGAGACAACCTAAGTGAATTGACATGGAAATCAAGGGCAAGAACTTGTATATGAAACAATTTTCCTCTCCCGAAAGTTATGGACCAGAAAGGAATGAATATTGATTAGTTTAAGCGATCGTATAATGTATATTCAAACACTTGCACTAGGCAACATGATATGACTGGCTAGGCTACCCAGCCTATCATAACCTGGTCGTTCATGCCTTAAAGACCAGGGACTAGAAAAACTGGTCGATCATATAATACTTTGCGAGTTTGTCGAGGGTCGAGGCCTCCGGCACACTCCTCCTCGCCTCTTGGGTAAACTAACCATGGAAACTTGAGAGGGAATAGTGATGAGCACCTCTGAGAGGCTTCGAGTGGGTCTTGGATCCTTTGGGACGCCTTGGAACCCAGTCCGGTGTGCACAAGTGACTCATTTTGGATTCATTTAGAGGCTCGAAAAGGTCTACTCGGTGATTCTAGCCTGATCAATTGATGCTTGCAAATTCCTCTTCACCCTCCGGAGATCCATTGAACAGGGTGTTCAGCGAGGACTTGGGACGAGGATCCTGAAGTTTAGAGCCGTAAGTGAATCGGATCCTGGGTCAGCCACCTTAAGACTTCATGTAACTACTTTAGGTTAAGTAAATGTGTTAGGGAACGGCGTAATCTACTTGTAGAGTTAATTTTTTTTTAATCCCGTGGTGACCAAGTCGAAGGTGAAGCAACCATCATTCACTGGAACAGAGTATATCTACCATTCACAAAACGGCTATTGTTGAATTGCGGGATCTTCAGTTTAAAACCGTCTTCACAAGACCCTGAATGCTGGTGGACTCAACATGGCATCTGAGGAGAGAGAGCAGAATAACATTATTATATAAAGTGTGTGTGCAGTGAGGGGGAATACAATAGCAAAGTAGTCTCCCCTCGTGTGCTGCGCCTAGCAACCCCCTGTTCCTCCCCTCTACCTCACCAGAGAGAGGGGGACGACCCCTCCCAGTCAATCCTCCCATGCCAGCCGCGTGTTCCAGGACTGCCGGGATTGTCTGGTATTGCGTGTGGGAAGTGAATACTGATGTCTTGTGTGGTGGTCAGGGATTGAATGCTGTCGTCGCCTGCTAATGCCAGGCCACTGCCACGGATGATAGACATCTGCTGAAGTGCTGTTTTGTTTGCTCCTTCGTGTGTCAGAGCCGGAAGGCGGGCGCAGCAAATTCTCGTTCACCCTTAGAATGTTACATTAAGGCTCGCGCGAGGAAGAGAATTGACGCTATTGTAGTGAACTTGAGGTAGATAAAACTAGGTTCTTGTAGAAACAAAAGCGTCTTCAGGGGCAAGAATCTTTAGACACGCAAGCCGGCTAGGAAAGCCAGTGTTATGTATTAGCTGGCTTGCCAGACCCCTAAGCCATGGGCACTAGCAGAGGGGCGTCTGCTGCCTCTGGTCAACATTACGCCTTATCTGCTGGACTCTGCTTCCCTCTGATCCAGTAGGCGGGTCTGCAGACCGCGGTGAGAGGCAGTGGGCGGCATGGCGCCCATGTTCTGCACCAAACTCTTCAGCTGGAACAAGCCAGGTAAGGGCAAGAAGGAGAGTGGGTCGAGGCCGCCATTGGATACCGTCTTCCCCGAGCCGCAGGAGGAGGGGGAAGCGTGTCCCTATTGGACCCACGTACAGTGTAACCCACCGCCTCATAATTCCTCCTCAGGGCCACTCACGCCCACTCATGTCCCATTGCTGCCCGCCCACCATCCGGCCAGTCCGGTCCACCACCAGCCGGCCACGGCGCCCCGCAGCCCATCGTCACATCGACGTGCCGCCCATGTCCGCAGCCACCAAGTCAAGTGCGGCCATGACGTCCCTTACTACAACACCAACTACAACACCACCTACAACAGCCCCTACCACAGCCCGCACCACAGCCCGGGGCCCAACAGCCCCGTCAACCACAGCCCCGTTCATTTTAGTCCGATACATCATCCCTCAAGTCATCATAACCAGGGGTACAAGAGCCCAGTACATCACGCCTCAGGGTACAAGAGCCCGGTACATCATGCCTCGGGGTACAACAGCCCGGTACATCACGCCTCGGGGTACAACAGCCCGGTACATCACGCCTCAGGGTACAACAGCCCGGTACATCACGCCTCGGGGTTCAACAGCCCGGTACATCACGCCTCAGGGTACAACAGCCCTGTTCCCCATGCCCCGGGGTACAACAGTCCAATATCTCACGCGTCGGGGTACAACAGCCCGGTACAGCCGCCCCCGGGGTACACCAACCCGCTGCACCACAGGGGCTACGTCCTGGAAAGTAACTACTGCCAGCCACTTCCCCCGCCGCCGCCACAACGCCCGCCGCCGCCACTACCAGGCCAGGAAGGTAATGTCTGGGCTACTTTCCCATCTTACTATCATCAGTGTTACCAATAATGGGCCTAATTTTATCTCTATCCCATTTATATACATGATAGTAGGCATCCATCAGTCTCGGGAGACTGTGGAGGTGTCGGTCTGGAGTGGCCTCTCCAGGGCGCGAAGCCTGGAAGGTAGGTTGATATGGGGAAGAAGCTGTTGCCCATGCAGCAGGTGTTATTCTTGATAACAGCATTGATAACATGATTTGCAGTTGGTTATCTGTGTTGACTGGTTCTCTGATAACCATGCTAAAGGTAGGTGCCCTTCATAGTCCTTGATCTGACCTAATCTGATATACTTGTTTAATATAATCTAACTTTACCTAACCTAACCAACTTAACCTAATATACCTTACCATATATAATATAACGCACGCACACCCCACTTACTTTTTTGTAATGGTGCCCCCTAAATATTGACAGCTTTTGTTATGGAAATTATAACATAGAAAACGGATCTTTCGTGTATATGGGAAAATCGAACCCATTTTTTCCGGGATTGATAGTGGCTCGCTAATAACGTATTTGTATGGCAGTGTACGCTTGTTTTAATTCCGGCGCCGGGCGTGGCACTGTGCCATATGTTAGGGGGCACAGGCGCCTATTGTGGGCTGGTGGAGGGAAATCACAGTGGCAATAATATATTTATAGAAATTTGTGTGTGACTCCGAGTAGTTCATAGTAGGGTAATGTTGTCACGTGAGGGTGAGTATCTGGCGCATAATGTCCCTTCGTCCTCCCTTCCCCTTATCCTTCCCCTCCCCTTATCCTTCCCCTTATCCTCCTTTCCCCATCCTCCCTCCCTCCCTCACATCCTCCCCTCAGTCTCACTGCCTCCTAAATTCATCCTCCCTTCATTCTTCCCTTCATTCTTCCCTCAACCATTCTCCCTTCTCTCCCTTCCTCTCAACTCTCTCCCTGACATTCTCCCTTCATTCCCCCTCCTCTTCCCCCTTCCCATCTCCCCCTCCTCACTTAGTCTTACACATGTTGCCACATATGTCCTAAATTAGCTACGATAGAGCGACTCTTAATACGATTGCAATGAGGGAAGGGACAGCACCTGGTCGCCCGCCCACCTGTTGAACACCTGGTCGAGTGCCCACCTGTTGATCACCTGGTCGAGTGCCCACTTTCTGAAACACCCTGGTCGAGTGCCCACCTGTTGATCACCTGGTCGAGTGCCCACCTGTTGAACACCCTGGTCGAGTGCCCACCTGTTGAACACCCTGGTCGAGTGCCCACCTGTTGAACACCTGGTCGAGTGCCCACCTGTTGAACACCTGGTCGAGTGCCCACCTGTTGAACACCTGGTCGAGTGCCCACCTGTTGAACACCTGGTCGAGTGCCCACCTGTTGAACACCTGGTCGAGTGCCCACCTGTTGAATCCTGGTCGAGTGACTGTTACCTGGTCGAGTGAACACCTGTTACACCTGGTCTATATTGGTTGTTATAACTGGTTAGGTGTTAAAACTTGTTCCAACGTTGTACCAACGTCGATAGTTTCGAGTGTGTGTTTGGAGGGCCCTTTCTGAAACACCTGGTCGACATCTACCACAGGACACGAGAAAGGAAGCGAGTGTCAACTCGCTATAATTCCTATATTTATCACTCCGTAAATAGATCCAACTGTTTCGCGTAACCACAAGCGTCGAACCCCAGTCACAGTACTTGCGTTATCGACGTCGACGCATCGGAAACGTCAATGTTGCCGTGCTTTCATTTGTAGTAATACGTCAAAAATGCGTCGTATTGGCCTAGTTGTGCTTACCGGGTGGGGTGAGGGAGGGTTGAACTTCGGCTCTTTGGTCCCGCCTACTGGGTGAGTTTCGACGCGCGAGCCAGCATCAACGCTGCTAGGTGAACAGAGGTATCAGGTGTAGGGGTAGCTTGATCAAATGTATCGCCCTGTCCAGGAATCGAACTAGTCTGATAATCTGTGAAGTTTATCCATATCGTGTTGCATTTGTTTACATTGTTCCTGTGTAATGTGTTTCTTCAGTGCGTTATTCACAAGTATCCATAAGTCACAATACATTATCCACAAGTATCCATAAGTCACAATACATTATCCACAAGTATCCACAAGCCACAATACATTATCCACAAGTATCCACAATCCACAACACATTATCCACAAGTATCCACAATCCACAACATATTATTCCCACAACATAAAACCCACAGGCCTACACCCACAGGCCTACACCCACAGGCCTACACCCACAGGCCTACACCCACCCATAACAAGCCTTCCCTAGAAACACCCCCTTCCCCCCACCTACAACAAGCCCCCATCCTAATTAATTACCATCTGTTCAACACCCCAATTTCAATCACCAGCACCAACCACACCTAATTACCCACCTACCCAATGCCTGCTAACACCTCCACCCACCAGTTGCTCACCCCCACACCCCCCCCCCCCCCGACCACCCCACCTTGCCACCACCAGCATCACCCCCCCCCCGCCCTCCCCACCAGCGACCAGCAGCTGTGACTGGCCAGTCACCAGGAAAAAAAACGTACCGAGCCCATATAGCACCTGGTAGGGACACGTGGATGGGATAGGAGGGAGGAGTGAAGGAACGATGTCCATCCACTTGGGCTAGCGGGGATCGAACTCCGACCTGCACGAAGCGAGACACCCCTCCCCCTTGCTTCGTGTAGGCGGTGTGGATCAATAGTACCATATGAAGAATTTTATAGGTCCAGTGTTTGGTATTAAGGTGTAGACCGTATTCACTATATATATATATATATATATATATATATATATATATATATATATATATATATATATATATATGTATATATATATATATGTATATATATATATATATATATATATGTATATATATATTATATATATATATATATATATATATATATATATATGTATATATATATATATATATATATATATATATATATATATGTATATATATATATATATATATATATATATATATATATATATATATATATATGTATATATATATGTATATCACGAAAATAAACACGTGATTAAGAATGTGACAATGTCAGACCACGGAGGAAAATGAAACAGGAAATTTCCTTAAGTACTTTCGTATATTAAATACATCTTCAGAAGGAATGATTTTACAGATCGATATATATATATATATATATATATATATATATATATATATATATATATATATATATATATATATATATATATATATATATATATATATATACAGATAACCTATACAGGCTATACAGATAACCCATAACAGATGAGGATAGGCGGGAAGGGCCGATGGTATGAAGCCAGTTTAGGGGGATAGGAAAGGGCGAGGGACGGGAACAAGGGAACGGAGGGTGGTACGAGGATGTGAGGACGATGGGGAGGATGGAAAAGGGATGTGGGAGGCGATAGGAGGGGGTGGGATGGGGTGGGGATATGAAACGCGGCGGCTACTGTCAGCTGTTCTTTGTTTACCAGTATTGACTTGAGGCAACTTTGTGTCCCTAGAGACGCAGAGGGGAAATCTAAGAGTCGAGGAGTGCGTTCGATCCTGCTGCGCTCAAGGAATTGTTTGTTCAGTTTTATGTTAGTGTCGCGTGGTTGGTTATTACTAGTGTGAAGCACTAATATGTCTGTCCCAGCTGCGAGAACAGTAAACATTTCTGTCCCAGCTGCAAAGAACAGTGAACATTTCTGTCCCAGCTGCAAAGAACAGTGAACATTTCTGTCCCAGCTGCAAAGAACAGTGAACATTTCTGTCCCAGCTGCAAAGAACAGTGAACATTTCTGTCTCAGACAAAATATATCTGACAGCCATATTATTATTATATTCTCTCGCGTTTCTTCCCCCCCAAAAAATTATTCAGTTGCTCGCTTCAACGACCGATCCAATTGTGTCGGAAGTTTGCGGAAGAATTAAGAGACTCTTCAGACGCATATATATATAAAAGAGAGACTTCAGACGTATATATATATATATATATATATATATATATATATATATATATATAAGAGAATCCGGCGGAGTTAGGAAGCACCTCGCTCTCTATGAACGAGGTGCTTCCATACGAGAGCCTCTTGAAATCCTCCCCAATCAGATATTTAAATTTGATTTGTTAAGTTAGCCGAAGTAGTTCTGACGCAGAGGGGGGAGGGGGGGGGATACAAAGGCGTCAGGGGGGGGGGGTGAGATAGGGGAAGAGGGAGGTGAGAGATTAGGAGGGAAGTGAGGGATAAGGAGGGAATTGGGGAGAGGGAGGTGAGAGAAGATTACAAGAGGGTGAATGAATTTGAGAGCGAAGGAAGAGGGGCGACTTAAACTTGGAAGGATATAGAGGATGGGAATGGCAGGAAAAAGGCGATAAAAGAGGGAGGAAGGGTTATCTTGAGGTTATCTTGAGATGATTTCGGGGCTTTTTAGTGTCCCCGCGGCCCGGTCCTCGACCAGGCCTCCACCCCCAGGAAGCAGCCCGTGACAGCTGACTAGCACCCAGGTACCTACTTTACTGCTAGGTAACAGGGGTATAGGGTGAAAGAAACTTTGCCCATTGTTTCTCGCCGGCGCCTGGGATCGAACCCAGGACCACAGGATCACAAGTCCAGCGTGCTGTCCGCTCGGCCGACCGGCTCCCGATTGGGGTATAGGGTGAGAAGTGAGATAGAAGAACAGCTAGGGTAAATGGGAGGGGGAGGGAGGGAACACGAGGAAGAATAACAGGACTGGAAAGGAGCGAAATAAGAGAGGTTAATGGTTCCTAACAGTGCTTGTGATGTCTGCAGGAGTTGTGACATTGGAGTAAGTGGACTCTGGCACCTTGCAAAATGTGACTCGTATTTTGTTATTAAAGGCGTCAGCTTCGTACAGCGGCGGGTGTACGCCGGACCTGGCGGCGGCTGCTGCTGCTGCAGCTGTTGCTGCTGCTGTTCCTGCAGCTGTTGCTGCTGTTGCTGCTGTTGTTGCTGCTGTTGCTGCTGTTGTTGCTGCTGCTGCTGCTGTTGCTGCTGCTGCTGTTCCTGCTGCTGCTGTTCCTG